CCCGCCGATACGGCTTCTGCACGAGGAAATTATGAAACCAGCAGCTAAGAGCCTGCCTGGCAGCCTCGGCTCCTGGAAAAATGCCATGTGGTTAAACTGACTGAGCACCTGGGTGTCCCTGCCACTTGTTTTGAAGAGGAGGGGTTGCTTAAAGCAGAGCTGGAGTGGCCACAACAAAACTCCTGCAAGAACAAAACTCTCTGGAAGAAACACCCAGGCAAAGGGTAGGCTCTGTGGCTCCACCACATGAATTAGCTTTCAAACTGCTGTCAGCTGTCTATGTGTGTGTACCATGTACTCAGAGAAACACAAAGAAAAAACAAGGAGTATGAAAACACATCATATTAATAATTTATAGCAAACTACATAGAAACTCCCTGAGCTAATCTGCCCTGGGGAGAGAAGTAAAACCTAACTTATTTAATCTGGAAATAGGGTGAAAATAAGCAAAGTATTATAAACACAAGATAAGCTAAATTTTAAAGCATACAGTTGTGAAATATTCATGTATAAGCACTGTCAAAAGAACTGTGCAACATGCAGGTGGAGAGGACTGGACTTCAGGAGCCTACAGACTGTATTTAAGGCAAACCAAAAGCTTAGTGCAAAAAAGCATGAGAAGACATTCTAACCACCAAAAAGCCGGTATTTACCCACAGTTTCCAAAGCAGAATTTAAAAAAAAAAAGTCACTCTGCATTTTCTGTGGGGACACTAAGTAATCTGCCTGGCTTTCCAGCACCAGGATTACCCTAACACATGATATCTACTGCTTGGCACCAAGGTGGAGAGGCTACAGTACTCTTCTGTGGAACATCTACAGATCCCAGCTTCCAGGAAAACAACTCTGAGTGAGCTGAGGCAGCTATGTATTTTGCTGTTTCTAGGTTTCTGCTCATAAGGTAGTTATAAATATGTTCTCTTGAATAGCTCTACTTTATCTTCCTTCCCTTAATCTGCTCCTCCCCCCATTAGCTTTCCCCTGGCAGCTGAGGACTGCAGTGGGGAGTGCTATTTAAACAGCAGTAACAAATCAATTAAGCTGGATTTCTATAGCAGGGTCACCTTAACTCTACAAACCACAGAACGTTAAAAATCTGCTATACCTCCCTAGCTACTTACAGGGGAAGTGGTTTTCATTAACCACTGCCTGAAGAACGCTAAACCATCACATGAAATGCTTTACTACAAAGCCTACTTGAAGCAAGACCCTTTGCTATGAATGCTAACTTTCTGCTGTCGTTACCTAAAGGGAAACGGCTTCAATTGCTGCAACACATGGTGGGAGAATATGTCTGCTTTTCCACTGATTTGGCTGTCCTGGTACTGACCCCAACTTTCACTGTGGTGGCACACAGATGCTGGTGACTTCAGGTGGGATGAAGAGTGTGGTTTGCACTCTTATTTTTCTTTGCATTTTTCCCTTGACAAATTTGATGTGGTCATTCTGTTCTGTGATCTGAGCAGTTCCACAGTTTCGGTGGAAGACTGAAAAGGCTTTTGAGTCCCTCCATTGTAATACAGAGAGTCAAACACAACTGCAGCTTGTAAGGTTTACCCAAGTATTGATTAGCTCTGTGTGCTTTAATACTAACCACAGCTATGTACTATTAATACACTGCTCCAATCCAAAGAGATAAACAAACACAGTACAAAATAAACACCGTTCCATCAACCTGAATGCTCGATATAATTTTTTCTTCTTTTTTTTTTCCCTTTGAAGACATCTTGCTTCTCATTTTCTCCGTTGAAAGCATATGATGATTTGCAATGCATTTTCTTGGTTTGCATTTTCTAATCTTCCTCCAGGTCTTTTTCTCCCTGCTCCCCTTTATGCTATCACATATTCTTCCACTGCACTCATTTCCCTCTCCCTCTCAAGGCCAAATGTATTAGTTGCATCAATAGACAGGTATTTTAGCACAGGGCACCTTGCTCACAAAATTCATGCCCTATTGCACATACATTCTGTCACGTGCACTACAAAAACACCGACTACATCTCTTTAACATTGTACCAGCAGAAACTGGTTTTTTTAATCCTTCCATACAGAGATGTTTTGCTCCTCTCAGATCTGCTGACACTCAGTTCTCGTTAGGCAGCTTTTTGGCTCTTCTTAATGAGCTAGAACGGCTGGGGTCACCCACACAGCTCAGTCGGTGCTTGTTAACAGAACAGAGAAATATTTCGAAGTCCTGTGCGAGCCCTTTTGCACAGGAGGGGCTGGGATATATCAGAGTGCTCAAGATGGCAAAACCAAAACCCCTCCTTGCAGGGATTAAAAGTATTTCTTCTTTTTTTTTTTTTGCAAGATCGCTCTTTGCTCTTCAGAGGTTTTTGTGGAGCTACTTTACTACCTCTTTGCCATACTGGAAACGTTAGTGATCAGTCTTGGCCATTTCAGGTAAGCTTATTATTACAACAGTGACTTGGTACCATGAAAGCCTTCATAAAGCAGAAAGGAGAAGTCCTGAGCAGCTGAAAAGACTGTCCAATCCAGTGCTCACTGTTGTACAAAGACTCAACTATACAAAGACTCAGCTATACCTTCATTGGGCACACTTCCCTTGCACTGAAACATATACATCCACCACAAACTTCTCTTGAGCCTAAGACCTCTGTAAATCCTCACCCCGGAATATCAGCATCTTATTTAAAATTATTCTTGCTAAGGCAATCAAAACCCATACTCAGGTGTGTGCAATTTCGGAGTCCTTGGCCATGGGGCTGGCTGACATGGCCCAAGGTTTAAGGAAGACCCATGTCTTTCCACAGCTGCAGGTGGATGCCAACTGATGTATCCCAAAATAGCACTAGAGACCTCTGCTTAGACAACTGAATCCATTTCTGAGAGTTAATAATCTTTACATATTAGTTATGTGTTACCCATTCACAACGTAGTTCCCACCTCAGGGAATTTATAAGTTTATACTCTGATAGATGATACCATTTTGACAGCACATTGCAGATCTCCTTAAAGGCTTGACTTTGTCCTGTTAACACAAGTGACCAACAGCACTCTCACCATGTCTTCCAGAGAACAACAAACCCACTTCAGAAATGGAAGGGAATGAAGACTCTTAAATCTACTGTCAGACCCTACATCTATGTCTGTTACAAAGAAAGCTCTATAAAATTATTACAGTGTTTTCACTTTGTAAAGTACAAAAACTGGGAGAGGACAGAAACTATCATGTAGTTTTCTTGAAGGAAAAAATAGTAAACTTCCCACAGTGGCAGAGGGGAAGGGTGCACATCAGCAGGTAGAGCCTGACTCAGTCTCAGGTATTCAAAGTGCTGTTTATGGCCAAACCCGTAGACATCTGCAAGATCAAATGATGTGGAAGATGAATCTATCTTAATAAGTACCATCCCCAAGGAAGACTTCTGAAGGGGTTATTCTGGTGCCCTGTTGCCATTGTGGCCCTGCTCAAAGTGTGTAACAGCTTCACCTAGAAACAAGCACGGTCAGCAAAAAAGATCAATTTAATTCAGCCTCAGATACCTAAAAACTAAGTCCCTCATTTTAATCTCCCCAGAAATGGGGAGATTTGTGCCATTCTAAACCAGTTTCTAGGGTAAGTAACATGGGTATCTCCAAAGACTTCACTGGCTGTAGAACCCAATGGTTAACTACATCTAGGAAGCTAACTTTCAGATGGATGAAATTAGGTGAGGAGTCATCTTGGCTGTGGAAGTCTCCTGGCTACTGCAAGTAATAGACTTTTCCTCTGTTTCTTCTTGTTGTGGTATCTTGAGAGACTTGCACCCATTAAAGTATGTTTTCTCTCCACTTCAGAGCAAGGAATTCATGACCATGATAAGGTCTTTTGGCTTCCAAAAGGGACCTCAGGCAGTCTCTAAGACATAAAGTTAGAGAAGTGCCATTTCTTCTCAAAAAAGGTTTTCCTTTTTTTTTTATAAGAAAAGTATAAGAAAAAGATCATTGAAACTTTTTTTTTTTTTTTTTTACTTTAGGTACCACTGCTCTTCAGGCAAGATGCTAGACATTCTTTTGCTCAAGAGAATGGTCTACTGTGTTGCAAAATGTGCAGCTGTCACGTTGAAAAGGTACAAAAGCTTGAAAATAATCTCTTCATCTTTGTAGAAGTGAAAATTGTCACACTGTTTCACAAGGAAAGGTGGCCATACAAGCTCACCTCATGGTGGCTTTGCTGGAACATCTTTCTTCGACAATAGCATTGCTGCCCAACCTTCTTAAAATGCACCATACACATTTCTGAGGTGCCAGGCTTATAATCAAAATCCATACAGTTTACAAAAATTTCCTAAATACCATCCTGGCTTTTGTGCAGACAGCTGCCCTTATGTCAACCTGCAAACACTCATTCAGTTATAAAGCCCAAAAGGCAGAGACAACAGCAGTAAAAATCTGAAATGATGGTAAAATGATCTTAAACTGGAAGAGGATATATTGATGAGGCATAAGTGAAAAATACCTCTCTGACCCATGACACTCCCACAAAGTGATACAGCTCTTTACTCATCATTCCACAAAAAACCCCAATGAATAAGGTCAACTGCTACCCTCTGTCCTACATCTAAAAGACAGACTCTTGTTTTAATACCCTGTTTCCTTTCCATGCACACAGATCTCCCTTAGATGTTAAAGAACCAAATCTTTCAGCAACAGCACTGCCAGTTAGGAGCAACTGCTCTGAAGGAAGTGAGAGGAAAACAAAATCTGAACCCTGAAGTTTGGAAAAGCAGCTAGATATGGAGCAGAAATCCACCTTCTGCCTCTCAGAAGATGATTTTTCCCCTCTTAATTGTTGCTTTCAGAAAACTTTGGTATGGTATGATTAACAAGGCACTCAAATTTAATAAAACAACAGCTGTTTTTCTGCGTTGTTATTTTTTAAGAGATATGCAAATTAAGACAGTTTGTAGAGTTGCCTAATAAATCCTGTAAACCCCATTCAATCTCTTTGTGGCAGTTGGAATGAAATTTGTAATAATCTGCCATTTTCTACACTACAGCTTCAGTTCCACTAGCAATAAAAAGTCTCTCTCCCAAACACTAGCAAAAATATCCTCACCACAACATCACACATATACTTCTCAAAAGGGAAGCATTTCAACTAGAAATCTTTGGATGTACTTACTGAGATTGTACCATTGTCTAGACCTATGGACAGCCTTCTGGTTTCCGGGTTAAAAGACATGCATGAACATGGAGCTGAAAAAAATGAACATGTTGATGAAGTTAACAAAACTGCGAATCTCATTTTCTTGAAGTTCTGGAAAGCCTTAAACGTAGCTAACATGCTTCATGCTGCCGTACAGCATTTTGCCCCTTCCAATAGTCAAGCATTAAAAAAAAGACCCTGTTCTTGCAACTCATTCAAGCCTATCCTATTAGGAAATGGAACAATGGCTATTTCTTGCTCCAGCTCTTTCATTTTTTCTTACTAGTTATCTGAAAACAGGCATGTCATACAAGAACAGTAGTGGTGTTTTGATATAAGAGGCACCTGACATTTCAGTATAAATCTGAGAGATTACTTAGCTGAATAATTTAGGTTTTTACATTTGCCTAAACTTTACTGACAATAAAAGAAAACACTGTATTATGTCAGAGGCTTACATCCTATACCTGCAGTAAGAAAGTTAACCTGTAGGAATCAACATATCAGCCAATATTAAGGACTGAGTCCAACTGCTGCTTGCTCTAGTTTTACCACAGACAATGCTATGCCAGTATCACATGCTATGGACAAAATAAAAGACTATATTGAAAACTAGCCATTCTGTTATTATATCAATATTACTCTAATAAACATCAGGATATACTCCTAAATTGCACACAAGCCACTCATACTATACTCCCTCAAGGATCTGGCAGGGTTCATAACAAGGGTAAAACCAGAATTCTCTTGCAAGAATTCTAAAGCTATGCTTGGTTTAATAGATAAACTGTGAAGTTGCATTCAGAAGGCAGGGATCGTTTTTACTGCTCAACCCAGCCGCATGCAGCTGGGAGTCCTGCTGCCCCAACAGAAACCTTCAGGAATCATTTTTCAGCAGCAGTTGCTAACCGCAGCTAGGGGCAGGCATTCTTGCTCCTTCAATAATGATAAGAGTGTTTTGTAAACCATATTGATTTCTACTCTCCATTGTGATTGCTCACAGTGTTTTTGTTACTAACAAGCTTGCAGTACTGAATATCTGGTATATTCTCAATTTGCGTAATGCCTCACCTAGGATTAAACAGTCCATAGCTCAGCAAATCTTCCTCGATAGTTTAGTTGGCAGCAAAGCTATCTGAAGAGGAGGATAGTCTATGTTAACTGTTTAACAAAACTTGTTCTACCTTCAGTATTGACTCCCTGTTGAAATATTTCCTGATGGACAACCAACAGCAAGCAGAAAGCCCACATTCAGGCAGGCACCTCAATTTATTTCTTTCCTGGAAGAGTTGACTGAATTAAATCAAAAAAAAGGCTTCAGTTCAAGGAAACTGCCAGAAGGGAAACACTTAAATTAGGGCTACTAACAGTGACAAAATTGCTCCTTCCTATACATCTCCCTCAGAAAAGGCAAACTCGAATCATGCCTTCAGATGGTGGTTCATTACTATCACACTGAGCCTTCTAGGGCTATAGCAGAATGAGACAGTTGTAGGAAAAACGGACAGGAAAAAAAAAGCAATTCGAAGCAGAACAAACATCAAATCCTTTTAAAGGCACTTAATGCCAGAATGGGCTTATTCTACATAGCAGCTTTCACATGCTAGACACCGTGCATACACTGAAAGAGCTACTAGTAATTCTGAAGGCAATAAGCAGCTTGCAGAGAAAAAGTCTCAGGTAAATTAGCTATTTGAAGTATGCTTTTCCCAAACAGCCTGAAACACTTCAGACACAAAAGGTGCAAGCAACTGCTTGACACGGACCAATTACAAAAAAGTCACTTCTAAATTCCAGACCTGTGTGTACACAGTCATAGCAGTGTAGAGATACTTACTTTGCTATAATCATTTTCCTAAGGGAATTCTTCAATAACACATGTGCTTGGAACAATCATTATGTCAGCACGAAGATTATGTCCATGCTAGCTACACTAATGTAGTTAAAGTGATGCCAGTTGTAACAAGGCTGCAGCAGCTTATGCTTTAGTGAAAATAAGATGACGTTCAGATACTTAAGTACTTAGGCACATTAAGAAGGGGGGGAGAAAAAAAGAAAAAAGAAAAAAGAAAAAAAACCCTCAAACCCTAAGCTTCCAAGATGTTTAAGATCCTTTCAAAATAATAGCCAGGAAAAATAACAGCACGCCGAAGGCCCTCTACTTCAGTACCTAGCTATGATTTGGATTTCAGACTGGAAAAAGATTGATCTGAACTAACAGAGAGGACAGGCAGGATACTACTCATGCAGAAGTCTGGCTGTAGTCTTTATGTTAAATACAGGGCAAATACACACTGATTTTAGCCTTTGGAAAATGAATTATGGAGGAAAAGCCCAATTACATACTTCATGCTCTCAACAGCGTGTCACCTCTATTAGAGGCTGACAGAAGTGGAAGAGAAATACAAACTTTGTACCTGCAGTTTCAGGGACCCCTCTTTGAAGTACCTAAAAGTGGCATAGTTTAAGACTGAAGGAGCATGTTTGGCTTTGCAGTTTTTTTACCCTCCTGTTCAAAGGAAAGTGTTAGCTATGAAAACCATCATAAGACAGAAATTGTATTATCTGCCTCAAAGACTGGATACTTCACTGCTCCTCGCTACAATAAACCCTTTACTCCGTTCCACATCTGTGAGAGGTTTTTGTTTGGTTGGTGGGGGCTTTTTTTTTTTTGCAAAGCTTATTTCTCTTGACTACAATTCCTTTCCAATTCATAAGTCTGTGTCTACTAAGTTTTTTCTTTTCTCCTGTACAGACACTGCCCAGAAGTCACACATCTAACCATGGTTACACATGCATAATTTGTGTTGCATGTGTGTAACCAAGGGTACACATTTACACATGAAAAGGGTTAACCTGCTCATCTGTTGTTAATGCAGTTGTTGAGACAACACTGGCATGAAGGAGATGTATTAGCCAGGTTTCCATCTTACCTAGTTTGCCTTACTGATGATATAATGGTGTGTAAAATACCCACACCTCTTTCTTTCTCATGGGCTAGCGGAAATAATCAAAAATGTGGCCACCATGTTTTCCAGAATTTCCCAACCACAGAAACACCCAGAGGTAGGGCATAAAACTTTGTAATTGGGGGAATCCCACCTCTAAACAGCAGCAAGCGTCCCTACTCTGATGGGATCTATGAGCTTGATCTTTTTCCCAGATATTTAATGGGTTTCATGTTCAGAATGCACTGATGGCCCCATTTGGGTGTGGAGCTTGACCAAATCACATGGCTGACTCAGCCCAACTCTTCATGTCCCAGAGTGCCCAGGATGCAAACTCAGTTACTACAGCTACCTGATACCAAATCATAAAAGGGTGTGTGTCATGCAGCACCATAACCAAAGTCACAAGTATGTATAAGTGGGACCACCACTCACAGCTTGCTAAGCAGCACAAAGGCACCATCATGCCTACTACATTTTTACACAGAGAACCTCTGGGCAGTTGTTGTTCTCTAGACAGCAAAAACCAACATGAACCTAAAAGCAGAGGACTACCAAAAAGGTCATCCACACAGAAACAGGCAAAACGATCATTTCCAGTCAAGGGCAGACTTGTGCAGATGCTGACTCAGAGCCCTTCCTATGATTTCCAAGCTTAAAGCCGTGGCTGGCAACAATGTAGTCGGCATTGCTCCAGTTGTTAATTATACCTGATCGCTCTTGAAATTGGTGAATAACACAGCATAATTTTAGTATCTCATGGCTCAAAAGCTTACCAGCCTTTTAAGTGAAGGAGCAGTGTCAGGTATCCAAATTTATGAAGGAGCTTTAAAATAGTCCCCTTTCAGTGGATCTGGATCTACTCCATCGTTTCCAGTGAAGCTGTTATTACTGGCAATAATGCAGCCTTGCTAAGACCAGAGGAAGACCTAGCAAGATTTTAAAATGCAAATGTATGCAAAAACATCACATGGAAAAAGAGAAGTATCATTGCCAAATTGCTAAAATAGCCATTTCGTAATAGTCTGACTGGGGAAAGCAAAACTCTTGGGATAGGTCAAGGGAACTCAGGCCACTGCTAGTGCTCATGACAGAGGTCCACAGACTGCCGCATCATTAGCTGGTTTCCAGTAGCTTTTTGTGTAAAATATTGAGCAGGAAGTACTTTTGAGGCTTGACATCTTCTTATGAGCTAGTCCATCACCAAAGGAAGAAGAAAGATCCTCCTCTCTACCAAATGAATGCTTTCTCAGAGCAGGCAGTCAAACACCATGGCCGCTCTAGGGTCCCAAGCTGATGTTGTTGTGGTACTAAAACTTGTATCTTTTAAATATTGTACGTATCATGGAGACAGATGTCTCTTCCAAATCAAGCTATCTTAGCTTAAAATAATTCTTTCTCCAGACAGTAAGAATACCTCGATGAGACTTGATAAATGCTCCCCAGTCTGTGGATTTAAGGTCAGCTTTATAAGCTTTCCGAAGACAGGCTAACCCAGCACATCTGAAACTGATTGCGGAGCATCAGCATACCCCTGCTGCTGGCGACCTGCAGAGTTATATTCCTGCACTCAACCACAGGGGTTATCACAAACAGCTAGGGCTGTGATTTCTTCAACTGTCTCTTTGAAAAATGGACGTTGATCTGCAGTTTCTTTTAAAGCGTGAACACTTTCTTTGGGAGAGGAGACATACGGCAGATCAGACTGGAGGGATCCATCATTGGTTTTCCACATTTAATTGCAGGGGTAAAATTATTCTGCTTTTCCACTGGAAGAGCTGTCTTCCCCTTCTAGTATCTCTATCATATTAGCTGCTGCAGGACATTAAGTTCTTATCAAATAAAACCATTTACCATTGTACTCTAATGGATGGAGCACATGCAGTAGGAAGGGCAGAGTGATTTATACTGGACACTTACAAAGCTTTATGGACTCCATTAGTGGCAGAATGCAAGACTACATTTTGAGATCACACATTTTTTTAATCTATGTTTGCATTAAATTCTCATCCCTTGCTAGTATATCTGTATCCTTTTGCTGCTGTAATCTCTGATGCCTCTCAGAAGCATTAGCACACAACTTGGTAAAGCTTCACAGAAGCGAAGAGGATTGTTCAAGAATATTTAATATGGAGTGGTAAGCTTGCAAACAGTCATAAATGTGAAGCTTCATCAAAACCAGAAAAGCATTTTTCAAACACACAGTAGATAGTGAACATCTCCTTATACTTACATGGCATTGCATGGTATATGCTGGGCCAGTACTGCCCACTGTCTCTCTTCAGCCAGACACGAACTGTTCTACAAAAGAAAAACCACAACACACATGTGAGGAAGAATGAAAAAGTAACCACGAATGAAAACAAAGTGGTGGCAATGAATGCACAAGACCTTCTTCAAAATTAAATTATTTTGCTGAGGGGGAAGATAAACATGCAAACTCCTACAGTAGCCTGATACATCAACCTCAGATTAACCTCTCTAAGGTGATGAGGGTAGCCCATTCCTTGGTTCCATGTAGTACTCAACATCTCAGCTGAACATATCACAACAGTATTTGGAAACTGCTATGGCTTTTTGTTCTTTGCCTTTCCCAAGGAGTTGCTGTCCTCAAACAGAGGCACCTAGAACCACACAGTGCTTCAGATCTCTCTGCAAATACATCAGTGCTTTCCTCTCTGCTAGAAGACCTTCCCAATGTATCTCAGGATTACTTTTGCTTTCTCATAATCATATCATACGGCAGCTCCCTGTCACTCAGTCCACGCCTTTCACACACTTGAGACACTTGTTGCTTGTTTCCTGAGCAGAGGATGTGGACTGATGTACCATCTGGGTCATCAAATAGTTATTACTTCAGTTCTCAGTGTCATCCACTTGTTTTGGTCCAATCTCTGAAGCCTCTTTCTAATTGAAGCTCTCTCTTAACTTTAGTTCATCAGCTAATTTCATCAAAACATGCCCAGTAACAGGCAACCAGTAATGTCCTGTTTATTCCTGCATAGCTCACTGGCATCTCAATTACAGCCAACCGTTACCTGCCTTACTGTTCCTCAAGTCCTTATCATCTCAGATTTTAACTAGTAAATTCTCCGTGTAATACTGTATTCCATGCATTACTGATTTCATAGAATCATAGAATCATTTAGGTTGGAAAAGACCTTTAAGATCATCAAGTCCAACCACTAATTTACACCAAATGTATTACTAACCTTCCCTAGAAAATGTAGTTATCCAAGAGAACATTGCATTAGTGCAGCACAACAGATTTGAAGCCATCACCCACTTCTATTTAGTCTTTTTCACCAAAGTTAGTATGCAATAGTAGGTACAAGAGGGATCTAAAAAGCTATTGTTAAACATAAGCCTTATTTTCCTGTAGCAAATCTGTAACTTGCACTTGATAGTATTAAGGAAAAAAAACAAGGAAGAATGGCTCCTTCCAGTTCATGAAACATGTGGAAGTATAGCTTATGGAGAAGATTACATAATCTTTTTTTCATGGAAAAGCAGATTTCAGCCCTTTTCAGCCAGTAAATATTTAGAGCAGTAAGTTAATATAATATAATATAAATTGATCTAAGACATTACATACACAAATCAAGTCTGAACAGAGAAGCCATGCAATACAAAAAAGCAATTCAGGAACTAGGTATCTATCCTGCAAACTTCAAGCTAAGGGCTGCACCACTGTGTGTTCCTGGATTGTATATATCCAAAACCAGGTTTCTGCTCATCCTGCCCTGCATCCAAACTCATTTTTCAGCAAATAATTCAGACACCTGCGTATCTGGGCACTACACAAGCTGCATCATTTTTAAAATGTCTCGGGCATACACTTTGACAGAGCATGTGGCTCTAAAAACTAGTATTTCACTGGGTCAGCAAGTCCCATGGTTAGAAAGCTCTCATGAATTACTCAACACATACAAAATTCAGTATAATTATAGCCGAAGTCTAACAGCCTTTTTGCAACAAATGCATCAGCAGCTCTTCAGCAGATCTGAAGCAAAACCACCAATACTTTTTCAGGGACAATCCATCAGCTGATAACAACGTTATCACACTGTCAATACCGATAGGGCCAAATCCTTCTGTCACGTCTCGCTGTAGCTAACCGTAGCTGTTGTCAGAGCAGCGCTCTGTGTCCAGACATCAGCACACAGCTCTGGAAAGAGGCACACAGCCACGGGGCCATACACCAGATTTGGGACAGGGTCCAAAACCTTTGGGTCCACCCACAGGGGTCCACTTTTGCTAAGAAGGTGGTCACTGTAATTCTGGAAGCAGATCAGCCCCTCTGTTTCCCAGACAGGAGAGCTCTTACTAATGTGTTTATCCTCAACAACTGAAGTTATCATCAGAATGAATGAGTGTGCAGAAAAAAGTAATGGGAGTTGAAATAACTCAATATGAAACAGCCCTGAGGAGGTGCACCAATATCCTGTGAGAGACTTGTCTTTCTTGACCACCCCAACCCATTCATTCAGTGCTACTGGTTTCAATACTCCCAGGCTCCGACAAGGTTCCCTCTCCTTTCCACTTTAAGGTTCTGGCAAATAGAATCATAGAATGTTTTGGGTTGGAAGGGACCCCTAGAGGTCATCTAGTCCAACCCCCCCGCAGGAGCAGGGACACCGCTAACTAGATCAGGCTGCTCAGAGCCCCATCCAACCTGGCCTTGAATGTTTCCAGGGATGGGGCCTCCACCACCTCTCTGGGCAACCTGTGCCAGTGTTTCACCACCCTCATTGTAAAGAATTTCTTCCTTATATCTAGTCTAAACCTACCCTGGTTTAGTTTAAAACCATTACCCCTTGTCTTGTCACTGCTGGCCCTACTATAAATAAATCCAGTGCAACATAGTGCAGATTATTGAGCTTGTTAAAAAAAGGACTATGTACAATAAAAGATTTTTCAAAAGCTAGAGGAAATAAAAATCAATTTTATTTGCAAAAATGGCAATAATTTGGATGCTTTGGGTTGTTTCTGTTGATTTTTTGAACTATACCCACTACAGACTTACTAATTAATTTGACAGTTATATCAGTGTTAAGACTGTTAGCTGAACAATACTGAAACAAAACCACTTTCTGCTTACATTTAAAAAAAAATAACCAAAACAAAACCCCAAACCTGGTGGAGGTTCCTAGTTAAGACTGAAACTACTTTCACTAGTGTAGGCCTCTTCTGTAGGCACATAGTATGCTCATTTCATTATGTAGTCAAATATATTTCCATTCAATGACTAATTCATGCAAAATGAGAAACAAAGCATTCTAAGAATAAAAAGAGCATGAGAGGATGTTATCTAACTTTAAGGTGTGCGCAAGGGAACATAACCAGCAAGTCAGTTCGTGTAACTCATTACGGAAATACTTACCTCACCAGTAAATCATTTTAAGTAAAGGAAAACAAAAGATCTTGTACACTATTTTAAAATTAAGGATGATTACTATGCATCTCTTTAAAACAAGCATTTAGAAGTTACTTTAAGCATTATAATGGAATTCTAATATCTATGTATAATCTGATGTAAAAGCGTAAAAATTCTTCCTTATGTCAGAAAATGATGACTCATTATTTTCTTCTCTTGAAATCACTGCATTAAATAAGGCATTTTATTGAAAGAAGAAAAAAACAACCTCATTTCATAAACTTTTCTGGGTAACTTTTTTTCAAAGTAGATTCGGGCTAAAGAACAAAGTGCACCAACTGAACTTGGGAGAAGCCAAATGCTCTTGGAAGAGAGTGTCTTTTTTTTAGCTGCAGTTCTGCACATTTTTGTATACTGCTTAATGCAATACTACCCACTAGATGTGAAACCCGGAGCTTTTGAAGTTTCTAAAGAATGCAAAGGAAAATAACAAGAATGAAGGAAAATAAGCTTTTTTATGGATATATAGCACACAGAATACTTGCTGTTTTCATGGTTACTGGTCTTAAACACAGCACCCACCCAGGTCAGGATCCATTCTTCAACTGCTCTAGAGTGATTCATTCGGCATCACCATGGAAATAAGTTGCCCCTTCATTTTGTTGCCAGTGAATTGGCTTGGAAAGATTTTTAGAACCTGTCAATTCGATGGATACTCTTCTAGTCTTTTCAAAGCAGAGTTGATTTATTTTTATATGAAACAGGCTATACAGAAATAATTCTGCCACACAAAAGACGGGCTACGTCTTCATATATTAAGGGGATGTGAAAAATGTATATTTTAAAAGAAAAATTGCTTTTCTCTGTTATGCTCAAGAGCATGTGTCTCAAGTCCAGGTGGCTGTGGTTGTACCGGCAGGTCTCAAACGCACTGCTAGGCTGTGCACATGTGCAGGAGGTAGGCTTCACCTGAGCACCTACTGGTCATGGAGGTGCCTAAGTCAACCACAGCACATCCACCTCAGCGTGGCAGCTCTGTGCTTCACCATCTACAGAAACTTATTCAATCAGTGGTACGCACCCTGGTATCTTCTTTCTGATAAAGACATTTTGCTCATACAAATCCTAGTTTGTGCATTTAGGTTGCAGTGTGCTCTGTGAAAGCCTGCACAATGCTGCCAGGCAGGATGCCAAGATTCTCTACTGGGTCCCTACTCTGGCCTGAGCTTCTTATCATTTCACGGCTGGAAAACTGGGTGTTGCTTGGAGCTCTAGAGTTGAGTCTCTGGGTCTGACTCAAAGGCAGGGCTCTTGCCTTTTCTTCTTGGTGCCTTGTGTAAAATTAAGAGAAAAGACAAATACTGGTGTCGCATACGGTACAGACATATTAGACATGTCTAAGC